TATCTATCTGTCTGTCTGTCTGTCTGTCTGTCAAGCTATCTGTCTGTCTGTCGTTCTGTCGTTCTATCTGTCTGTCTATCTGTCTGTCTGTCTGTCTGTCATGCTATCTGTCTGTCTGTCTGTCTGTCTGTCTGTCTGTCTGTCAAGCTATCTGTCTGTTAGTCTGTCTGTCTGTCTGTCTGTCAAGCTATCTGTCTGTCAGTCTGTCTATCTATCTATATCTATCTATATCTATCTATCAGTCTATCTATCTATCTATCTATCAGTCTGTCTATCTATCTATCTATCTGTCTATCTGTCTGTCTATCTATCTATCTATCTGTCTGTCTATCTATCTATCTATCTATCTATCTATCTATCTATCTATCTGTCTGTCTGTCTGTCTGTCTGTCAAGCTATCTGTCTGTCTGTCCTATCTATCTATCTGTCTGTCTGTCTATCAGTCTATCTATCAGTCTATCTGTCTATCTGTCTGTCTGTCTGTCTGTCTGTCTGTCTGTCAAGCTATCAGTCTATCTATCTATCAGTCTATCTATCTAATTATTTTTAATCATCTTTATTTATTTATTTATATATTTCTTTTATTTATTTATTTCTCTTCATATTGGTTTATCTTCATATACAGTTATTTATTTTCATATTTATTTATCTTATTAATTTTTATTTCTCTTCATATTGGTTTATCTTCTTACTTATTTATTTTCATATTTTGCTGCGTTTTAACCTGTTTTTATGCCATGAAAATGATCATGGTATCTGGCATGGCATTAAAATATATATTTTTTAAATTCATTTGTTCATGATTTAATTGATAAAGATTAAGGCTGAGAATTAATATAAAAGAGGTTTACACTGCCTTCTGGCTGTCAGGCTCCAAAAAAGGACAAAAAACACCACAAATCTTGAATAAGAGTAGTGCAAATGATCATATGACGCTGCTATTTCACATCCACATTCCAAAGTGAAGCAAAGTGAGCAAAATTTAAGCCAGTTCCTCTTCAGATCTCTCCGCTGCATCTCTCAAACCTCGTTCACACGCTGACGGAGAGTAAATGACGACAGGATTTTGGGTTTTTGGGTGAACTGTTGCTTTAAGAGCGACATTAATACACACTCCGCAGCAGTGTAACGTGACATTTGGAGAGTAAAGCGCAGTAACGCCGCTGGACTGTGATTGGTTGCAGGCGTTTGTGTTGGCCGAAGCGTACGACTACAGTCCGGACTGGGCCGAGCTCCTCTATCAGAAGGTGCTTCTCAGAGCAGACTTCAGCTATCTGGAGGAGTTCAAGCGGCACAGAGCGCTGAGTGCCGGCCTGTTCGAAGACATCTCCAAGAAGTGAGCTCCGATCACTCTGATTGTGTTACGATGTTTCTGTGAGGATATTCTCATACGCTACTAATCGCTTTAGTTAGGTTATGGCAAGACCATTATATCATTAGCCAGCTTTCTGCAATACTTGATAGTAATTGGTCAGTTTTGGAGTCAAATATATATAAATGAAATTTTAAAAAACACAAAAAGAAAACTCAACTGTTAAAACTATTGTTTTATATTATTATATAATGGAAATATAATATTATTGTATTAATACAGTCATTTTGATTCATTTGTATTTGGTCCGTAGTGCTATTTTGGAGTCAAATATTTATAAATAAAATTTTTAAAAGTAATAAAATGCCAAAAATAAGTAATGAAATGCACAAAAAAAAATCTAATCATATGTTCTTTTCTATTATTATATTAATATAAATGTAATTTTTTTTTTTTATTACTGCTTCATTGCAATTGGTCAGTGGTGTCAATTTTAATTTGTAAATTAAATAAATGAAAACAAAATAATTTCAACTAACATATTTTATATTATTATATAATAGAATAGAATTTTATTAAAATGGCATTTTTTAATAATAATAAACAAAATATTTTCTAATAATTTTTTTTTATTCAGCTTTCGGATGACGTATAAATCTCAATTTTGAAAAATGGACCCTTATGGCTGGTTTTGTGCTCCAGGGTCATATATATGTACAGTATATATAAGTGTCTGCACACTTATTCCTTCCTTGTGATATAATATATTCAGTCTAGACATGTTTTCTGGTCCCCGTGTGCGTATATAGAAAGGTGTTATTTTTCTGTCAGGCATGATTCATGTGCGTCTGTTGAATGGATGGATTGATTGATTGTGTTGTTTTTGTCAGAATGTCTCATCACAAAACGCCGGCGAGCTGCAGTCAGAATCTGAAGAAGCTCCTGTCTCACTGCGAGGACGTTTACACGCATTATAAACTAGCTTACGAGCACAAGTTCCTGGACGTGGCCAACATGCTGCTGCAGGACTCCAAGACCAACAGCTTCCTGAAGGACCGGCTGGGCACCTGACGCCCAAAAACACCTGAGCCAGCCCTCGCCACCACATTCTGCTCTTACCATGCAGCGTTTAATCATGACCTTTCAATAATGTGGACCTTTCTAAACAAGCAAAACTAACTTCTCTTTCACTGATTTCCAGTAAAAGTGATTTTTGACCGTTTCCAGGCGTCTGTGTTTCTGTCCTGATGTGCATCAGCACGATGCAGACGTTTTTCCCCAGTAACACGTTAAACTGCTGTTTTGCTGCGAGACCTTGGTGTGTCTGATGTAGAATGAGACGTATATTTACAACATACTATATTTTTCTGCATTTTTAGTGCTGAGATTAATAGTGGAGACACTTAATGACGCTCTTCAGGACACTTAAATAGGGCCATATGAAATCTGTTTTATTTTGTCACAAATTGTTTTATTTTGTTTCCAAATTCCATTTTTTCCATTTGAATTTGTTTAGATTCCATTTTTTTTTTCTGGGCTCCATTTTAATGGTTAAATTAAATGTTAGTAATCCAAAAGCATGTCTAATTGTTAAAAAATTATAAATCTTTTTATGAAACAAAAAAAATTTTTTTAGAGACAACTTTGAAAATAAATTCTGGGGTTTTTCCCCCCATTTTAATCTTTCTGGACTCTATTTTAATTGTTAAATTAAATTTTAGTAATAAAAAAGCATGTCTAATTAATTGAAATCATGGAACTTACACAATTTAACAACCATTTATTAAAAGTTTAGCAAAAATTACTTTTTTGTGACTTTTTTTTTTTGTTGTTTGTTTTAATTTTTTTCCAGTTTTAATTTTTCTGGATTCCATTATTTTATTTTTTTTCTGGGCTTTGTTTTAATGGTTTAATTACATTTTAGTAATCAAAAAGCATTTCTAATTCATTGAAATCATGAAACTTATACCGTTTAACAACAATTTATTAAAAGTTTGACCAAAAAAAAAAAAAAAAACATTTTTATTTGCCTCTGAAATTTGTTTAATTTTTTCCATTTTTTTTTTCTTTTTAATTTTTTAATTTTTATTTTTCTGTACTTCATTTTAATGGTTTAATTACATTTTAGTAATCAAAAGGCACATCTAATTAATTAAAATCATACACTTTAACAGCAATTTATTATTTATTTTTTAATTGCATTTTTAGGGACCTATATAATCCATTTTATTTTTTCTCAAATTCCCTTTTTTTCTTAAAATTCTGTGTTTTAAGTTTTAAAATTGATTGATTCCATTTTAAAGGTTTAATTAATGCTTGTCTAATCAATTGAATTGATCACATTTTGTAAAGTGATAGAATCCTGTTAAATGTTTTATTTTTTCATAAATTGTGTTTTGTGTTTAAATTTTTCTGGATTTATGATTGAGTACAAATTTGTTACCAAAAACTAAATCATAGGGCCCTGCTGAATTGCTAAACCGTGCTAATGGTGATTTTTCTTACTGAATCTGTGGTGTTTTATTTGTGCTGCAGTGTCTTAGCGTCTGCACTAGATGTCTCTGGTGACTCTCAGTCAAATATTATTCCCAGGGTGCAGAAGCACTTTATATCAGTGTGCGTTTAGTGCAAATACAATCTGAATGAATTGAATCACAGCTGCTGTGAGTAACACAGAGATTGATGGTCGGGAATAAAGTGTCACTGCGGCCCATTTGAGAGACAAATCAATGATTTAAGGATTTATTTCCACCTTTCTAAAAATAGACGACCACTCAAGACCAAATGATAGCACTTCTACTGTTATATTTCGATAAATATGCAGCCAAATAGTAATAAATTATAATGTTTAAACATATAGAGTGAGGCACATTCAATATCCTGTTTTTTTTTTTTTATTTAAACCTCAAAATAAAGTTGTATATTTAAACATTTTTAAAAAATTTATGACAAATATTTAAGATTAAGCCAAAAATGTTATATTTCAATGTATATATAAAATATATAACTATATAAAAAAAATTTTTTTTTTACATTTTCTGTCCCAAATAAACTGCATTTCATACTGCATAATGCAAAATAAAGAGCTTTTTTGTGTTTCTGAAACTAAAAATATACAGTGAGGAAAAATGAATATTTTGGATTTTTCTTCCTTTTATATCTGGAAATAAACAACGTAGTATGTTTAAATGACAAATTAATATTTACGATTATTGAAGACCACAATGTATGTACATATTTGAAAAGATAAACAATATATTTCTTTTATCTGCGTGATTTATGTTCACAAGCTTTAAAATGAGTTTAAAACAGTTTCTCTTTCCAGACAAAATGCATCATCTCTAAAAGCTTGCGCTTTTTAAAAAAATAGCTGATGCTGTTTATGAAACCTTTGGCTTTGCCAGTAATATGATAAAGGAGATATTAAGTTATGAGTCACACACAAAAAGAAGAAGTGAATGGGTTCTGATTTGGTAGTTTCATCTTTTGACACAGACTGTTATTCTCTAATGGGCCGTTCACACACTTTACAGCAGCGATAAAACTCAAGTATCAGAGCAGAAAAGACCCAAAACAGCAGCAAACTCACATTTACAGCATTTCATGGTCTGTAATAGTAATTTGGCACAGTTATTATAGTTAACTAAAACCATAAAACAGTTGTTACTTGAAATAAAATTAACTGAAAAAAAAATAAGTGTGTGTGTGTGTGTGAGAGCGAGTGAGATCATGTGTGTGTGTGAGAGAGAGTGAGAGTGTGTGTGTGTGTGTGTATGAGAGCGAGTGAGAGTGTGTGTGTGTGAGAGAGAGTGAGAGTGTGTGTGTGTGTGTGTGTGTGAGAGAGAGA